TGGCAACTTAAGCGAAAATAATTAGAGTTAGTAAACCAATATCTAGAAACTTCTCTTTATATCTAAATATTTGCTATTATATATTTGTGTTCTGTCGTGACCTCAGGCGCGATGCTTGTTCATCCGCGAGTTACTTTGTATGCGTTGTTTGTGTTTAGTAACCAGAAACTTTTTATATGTTTGTTACATAATTAGTTTTATTAATTTTAACGATTATAACTTCATTAAAAACGCAATTATTTTTGTAAGTCTTTTTTATTATTTTTGTTTAAATCATAAAAATTGCTTTAAAAGATACATTGCGATAAAAAACAAATACACAAAATTACATTTACATAAAGAATATAATCTCTTTTAAAATAAAAAATAAGAATATACTAATAAAATCTATGATTTATGATAAACTTTTAAAATTTTAACAATTTAATTAATATATATTTAAAACATTTATTTTTGTAAACAAATAATATATATTCTTAAAACAATTCTACAAATCTCAAAACGTAACAAATCGTGAATAATACAATTTTTAAAACATTTTAACAGAATACTCTAGAACTTTATTTCGCTTAATCAGCGTATTTTTTGAACCAATAGTATTAGTTTGTTTGTTAATTTGGCGGGTTTTTAGTGTTCGCAAATATTCTTTTTATTCTTCGCACAAAGATGTTTTGAGAACATTGTTATGTTTTGTTATGTTTCCATGTATGTCCATAAAACAAAAATTCTTTGTTTTGTACATAAACTTAAATGTTCTCAAAACGACTAAAAAACCTGGCCAGTTTTACGCAACTAAATATAATTTCCGTGGTCAGTATTCGAGAGCGATCGCTCCCGCTTCCTGACCAAGCCTGTAAATGGATATATGCATTTGCATGTACTACTTTTAAAACTTTTGCTGCAGTATACTGCATCAAAAGTTATAAGAGTAGTAGCTACTCAAATAACTTTGGGTAAATACTGCAGTATTTACCCTAATAATAAATAAATACTTGTTTGTTACATTCCTGTTTATTACATAGTGTACTACTCTTTAAACTTGACCAATTTATAAAAATTATGCTATGGTTGATTGTGATGCTTATTTTATTAGATTAAAATGTCTTATGCAATTGTTTCATTTGATGAAAGTAATGAAACGGATTTTCTTCCATTAAACCTCAGGTCAGGTCAGGTTTTCCTGCTACTGGTAACATGTAACCCAGTACAACCTGCTCCATGTCCTGCTGCCTTGTAGGATACGCTTTTTTAGGCAAAGGCTAGGAGAAGTTAACTCCGATTTAAAACACCCCCTGCCTTGGGGCTCTTGGTTGAGTAAAGGCTAGAGATGGTGTCTCGATAAAAATACTCATCTTGGGCAGATGTTACATGCATCCAGCTGCTGTCTTGTAGAAGGCCTCCTAGGCAAAGACTTAAGGGGTAAACAGATTCTATCTGTTGACCAGCCTCGCACCCCTTCCTCATCTATTAGGCTGGCGCAGATGTATTTTTAATACATTGTTTCCAGTTTAGGATGTTGAACGCTGGATCTTCTTGACTCAATGCGTGGGTATTGCTTGTGTCTCTATTTTTATGACTGGGCAACTCATTCTATTATCTCCTAATGAGGGTACAGCTCTAAAACTCAGTTTTATGGTTCTGAGGCCGGCTGGTAGTCAGGTTTCCCGAACTCTGTGGTAGCTCTCAGAGAGGCTGATTCCATCAACAGCCGAAAAATATCAGAGTACTAACAGTGCCATGTTGCGCATGGGTGGTGTCCCTGTTTGTACTTTTGGTGTGCATTGCAGAGGCCACATTTGGAGCCCTTTGTTACGGCTTAGGGTTTATTAATAGTAATGAGGCTATTGCTTAGTTGTTAAATAGTGTACTGAGTACTATCTATACTTGAGTCAAGTTCTTTATAAATTTAAAATGACTAAAGTACCTAAAACTAAAAAACACAAAAAACCATTGTCATCACCAAGTTCTCTAAACCTATCATTTACTAATATTCGTGGTCTTCGAAGTAACTTTTCTTCTGTTGAGTCTTATCTCTTGCAAAGTTCACCAGACCTACTTGCTCTTTGTGAGACTAATTTGAGTTCGGCTGTCCCATCTTGTGATCTTAGTGTTGATGGTTATCTTCCTTTAATTCGTAAAGACTCCAATAATCACATGCTTGGCCTGGGCATCTACATTCGTAAGAACTCACCCATTTGTCGTGAAACTAGGTTTGAATCTACAGACTATTCATTTATGTGCTTTCGTTTAGCACAACTTCACTCTATCGCCTTTCTCTTTGTTCTATATCGCTCTCCTTCATCCCAAGATTGCACTATTCTTGATGTTATTTCTGATCAAATTGACCAAGCCCTCTCTCTTTATCCATCGGCCAATATCGTCGTTGTTGGTGACTTTAATGCCCACCACACCGATTGGCTTGGCTCTAGTGTCAGTGACTCTGCTGGCGTTAAGGCCCTCAACTTTTGCCTTTCTCAATCTCTAACTCAAATAGTCAACTTTCCAACTCGTTTTCCGGACAACCCTAATCATTTACCTTCTCTACTCGACTTATGTCTTGTTTTGGATCCTAGTCAGTGCTCAATTTCTCCACATTCACCCTTAGGTACTTCTGATCACGGTTTGATCTCTCTAAAACTATTATCAAATTCTTCTACTTCATCAGAATCCCCCTATCATCGTACCACATACAACTACCTTAAAGCTGACTGGGACTCTTTCCGTGATTTTCTTCGTGATGGCCCTTGGGTAGAAATCTTTCGTCTTCCTGCTGACAAATGTGCTTCTTACATAACTTCGTGGATTCAGGATGGCATGGAATCTTTTATTCCCTCTCGACGATTCCAGGTCAAGCCTCACTCTTCTCCTTGGTTTTCCTCACATTGCGCTGCAGCAATTTCTAATCGAAACCGTTACTTCCATATCTATCAGCAAAACAATTCTCCAGAAAACAGACATCTGTTCACTATCGCCAGAAACCATTGTAAAAAGGTTTTGTCTGACGCCAAAACTCGCTATTCCCAGGTCATTAAATCTCGTATCTCATCACAAAAATTAGGCTCTCGAGACTTCTGGAGAATCTTTAACAGTATCAATAATAAGGGCAAATCTGTTATTCCTTCTCTCTTGTATGGTTCAGACTTTGTCACCTCACCTAAAGACAAAGCTGAATTGTTTGCTAAGAACTTTTCATCAATATCATCTCTTGATTCCACTAGTTGCGTTTTACCTGACATAGCCGTCAAACAGGTTGATCCCTTGCTTGACATTCGCATCACTTCAGCTTCTGTATCTAAAGTAATTTCCTGCTTAGACTCTTCAACAGCTTGTGGTCCTGACAACATTCCTGTTGTAGTCTTGCAGAGGTGTTCTCCGGAGCTTTCATCCATACTTTCTAAACTATTTAACAAGTGCTTATCAGAGTCTTGTTTTCCATCATGCTGGAAAGCAGCATCTGTTATCCCTATTTTCAAAAATTCCGGAGAGCGATCTGATTCATCTAACTACCGTCCCATTAGTCTTCTTCCTGTCATAAGCAAGGTTTTTGAATCTTTAATCAACAAACACTTAATCTCTCATCTTGAATCAAATAACTTACTTTCTGATCATCAATATGGATTTCGGTCTTCTCGTTCTACAGCTGATGTGCTAACAGTAATAACCGATAGGTTTTACCGTGCATTAGATAGAGGTGGAGAGGTTAAGGCTATCGCACTTGACATTTCTAAAGCTTTTGATAAAGTTTGGCATGCTGGTCTTCTCCATAAGCTTTCTTCTTATGGTGTAGCTGGTAACGTCTTTAAGATTATTGAGTCCTTTCTTTCCAATCGTAGTATAAAAGTTGTCCTCGATGGACAACACTCTTCTTCACATCCTGTAACTTCAGGGGTTCCTCAAGGTTCAATCCTTGGCCCTATACTCTTTTTAATTTACATTAACGATCTTCCAGATATTCTCACATCTAAGGTGGCATTATTCGCTGACGACACTACCATTTACTCTTGTCATGATAAGAAGCCTACACTCTCTGATTGCTTGGAGGGGGTATCTGAGCTTGAAAAGGATCTCACTTCTGCTACAGCTTGGGGCTCACAGTGGCTGGTGAACTTTAATTCAGATAAAACTCAATTTTATTCGGCCAATCGTTATCGTAATAATTTAGATCTTCCTATATTTATGAATGGTAATGTACTAGATGAGTCATCTACCATTCATCTTCTAGGATTAACTCTTACTTCTGATCTTTCTTTTAAACCGTATATCAAATCCATTGCAAAATTAGCATCTGCTAAGGTTGCATCTCTTTATCGAGCTCGACACTTTCTTACTCCAGATTCTATTCTCTATCTCTATAAATCTCAAATCCGTCCCTGTATGGAATACTGTTGCCACATCTGGGGCGGATCTTCTAATGATGCTCTTTCTCTTTTAGACAAGGTGCAAAAACGAATTGCAAACATAGTTGGACCTGCTCTGGCAGCCAATCTCCAACCTTTGTCACATCGTCGTAATGTTGCTTCTCTTTCTCTTTTCTACTAATACTATAATGGGCACTGCTCTAAAGAGCTAGCGTCCCTTGTGCCATCTACTAAAATTCATTCTCGTGTTACTCGCCATTCAATTAAGTCTCATCCTTTTTCTGTGACTGTTCCTAAGTGCTTCAAAAACTCTTATTCTTCTAGTTTTTTTCCTCGAACATCAGTTCTTTGGAATTCGCTTCCTTCATCTTGCTTTCCTGATTCATATAATTTGCAATCTTTTAAGTCATCAGTCAATCGTTATCTTGCTCTACAGATTTAGTCTTTTCTCTTCCAGTAACTTCCAACTCTTATAGTGGTTGCTTGCAGCCTTGTTGGAAGTGAAGATGTTAAAAAAAAAAAAAAAAAAAAAAAACTGGATTGCTGATGGTACCTTAATGAGTGATATTCCTATGTGAATTAAAAAGCATCATATAGTCAAGTTTTACTGGCCTCCACTAAAAAATCCAGAAAGTATTTCTGAGGCAAAAAGTCGGTGTTTAGAGGCCGATTTGAATTGGCCCACTTATAAAGCACGAATTTTGTCTACTGCTGGTAACTGTTTGTTTTTATAATTATATAAAATATATATATATTTTTTTTGCATGGCTCTTATATATGGTTAAAAAATAAAGTTGTTTTGTGATGTAGATTATTTTTCAAGTTATCAGTATTTAAATTTGAATTTTGTCATTTATTTAAACTGATTAACCAAGTCTATCAAAGTCAATCTAAATCATAAACAATCATTATTACTAAAAAAAAAAGTTGTTTTAGATTCACTTTATGAGGCTCGTCAGAAAGCAATATTGGCTGAAGACACTTCGAACCTCGAAGTTGAAAATAGTATAAAGCAAAGAAGGTGAGTTACATAAAATTTTGTTAGTGAAGTTTACAAAAAGTGTACTAAATGTTTTTGAAGCACATAGCAGCTATAAATTAGTAAACAAGGAAGTGAGCTTCCCTATTATCCTACAAATGGTGAACATGTTTGTAGTCTAAATTCAGCGCTAGAAATAATTTTTCAAAGCTTGCCGATCAAATGTAATTTTTTTACAAAAACAGGATATTTTCCCTTAAATTTTTTGAAATTTTTCTAAAAATAGCAGATGATTGATCGTTGATCGGCCGTTATTTCAAGCGCTGAAGTTAGTTCTTTTGTAACTCATAATTGTCTGGTCACCCTGCGAGCTAACAGACTGCTTTTTTTCACTAATTTATGTCCTTTTAGACAACTTATCAATTTGTAATACCATTTGCCATATCTTTATACCAGTGTGTGTTTACATCTGCTGCTGTGTACACTTTACTTGTCAACTCAAATTATTTATTAATTAGTTTAAATATTTTATTTAGAATAAATATTATACAAGCTGATGAAAGTGACAAAAGTGAAGTTGAATCTGATTGCAGCGAAGAGTTTATTGAAAAGTAATCTTTTATAAGCAATGTTATTGTTAATAATATATAAGTTATATAATATATATATATATATATATATATATATATATATATATATATATATATATATATATATATATATATATATATATATATATATATATTGTTTATTAGGAAAAAGAAAGTTATTGATGTGCACAAAAAAATTAAACATGTAGAAAAATCTTATTCTTTACCTAAACCAAAATCTCCAATTCAAATTATACCTAAGCCAGTTCCTCCTTCATTTTTATCAGTAAAACGTTCTGATAGTTTCAATCAATCTGATTGGAATGATTGTGATATTGAAATTACTCGTCATAATAGTGAGTAATAAGTTTTATCTTTATTTTTTTTGAACGTATGTTGTGATTTAAGCTAGTTGCAATTAATTTAGCAACTGTTCTTGAAAATAAGACATATATGCCAACATTCGATTCTTCTGCTAACTGTAAGTTTATATATTTTTTCCTTTATTTATTGTAAAGCCAATTTTTTATGTAACTAAAAAAAATTGTTAATGCTTTTTATGTAACTAAAATGTATTGATAATGAAAAAAAATTACCAGGATAATAGTTTATCTTTTTTTTTTATTTTAGTACTTGGAAAAAAGTCAATAAGTTAATGAAATTGTTTATAATAAATATTATAAACAAGTTCATTAACTTATTGACTTTTTTCATTATCTGACTTATTAATCAACACTGACTTATTAATAACTCAAGTATCAAAGTTATCTAAATTTTGGTTTTCAAAAAAAATGTTTATTTGATAATTTATAGTTGCAAGTACTAGTCAGACTAACACAATATTAACTGCAATTTTGACACAAATTGAAGACATAAAACAAACTTTAAAAGTTCATTCTGCTATTTTGCAAAGCCTAGTGCAACGAGACAGAGGTATAAATGCAAGTTTATGTCAGCTTCCAGAGGATATAAAATTACCTATTTTAACATATGAGGATCTACTAGTAATGGATCAGAAGTTGATAGATCCTCTAGTGAAGAAATGTATGGTTAGTAAAATATGTTTACAAAAAATATACTTTTTTTCAATAAGTAGATTTTTTTTCATTATTATAATTTTTTCATTAAATATATAACTATTTTTTTTAATATTTATTAACTAATTTTAGACTTTTTGTGTAGATTAAAGTGATAGCTGATATAGGTGGAGTTGATCTTTCCGATTTTATAAAACGATCAATGAAATTTCTTCTTGGCAATGATCTCTCTAAAAAATTAAATCTTACTGGACAAAATCAAAAGCAACCTTTTAAAACATTGAATATATGTGAAGTTCTGTTCAGTAAGTCTATATATGTGTATATATATATATATATATATATATATATATATATATATATATATATATATATATATATATATATATATATATATATATATATATATATGTATATATATATATATATATATATATATATATATGTATATATATATATATATATATATATATATATATATATATATATATATATATATATATATATATATATATATATATATATGTATATATATATATATGTATATATATATATATATACACACACATATATATATATATATACACACACATATATATATATACACACACATATAGCTTGTCCAATTTCATTTGTTTTGATTTGTCCATAAAATGGTCAAAATCAAAATGATTCCAATTTCTGAGCAGAGATCTATAACTTTTTGGTGGGCTAGCATTGATTTTTTTAAACCAACCAATCATGAATTAGTTATTTTTTGTTATCTAAACTTATTTAGTATTTACATTTATATCATGTGTACTTCTAGGTATTATTGTCTGAAATAAAGTTCTTTTTTCTAGGTAGCGTGAAAGTTAATGCAACTACTCTAGATGCAAATAAAAAGCAAATCGAGGCAGAACTATCAAAGTGGTTTACCAATTCACGGGATCGTGGTAGTGATCGTCGGGGAAGAAAAAAAAGATTAAAAGACATCAACAATGAATCAGATTTTATTTTCAACAAATAATTTGTTGCATAATATTTTAGAAAATAAAATTTTTATTTAAAATTATTTTGATGTGGTTTTTAAATTTATCCAACATTATATATCTCAGTTATTCATAGCATGTTTTTGCATATTTTCTAAAAATTTTGTAAAGGTAAAAATTGGATTGGTACTGCGTTCCATGAATGGTATATTTGTAGCGTGTATCAAGAGCGGTTTTACTGTTTTCAATAAATTTTGAAGAAATAAGAAAGGAAACACTTTTATAAAAAGATGTGGTGCTTCCACAGGCATCAAATCTTTTTTACATACCAATCTATCTTTAATCTATAATAAAAATGTGTATATTATTTGATAGTAGTTAGTGATGTACTGATTAATCAGCATCAGCTTAATCGGCCTTTTTAAATCAGTTTACCGATTCTCCAACTGATGGTATTTTAATATTTTTACCTTGCATTATATAGTTTTTTAGACTTGAAAATTTAAAAAATGTATATGATTTTAACTGAAGTTTTCTAATAGCTTTTAAAATATAGGTTTGGATCTGATTTGGATCCAAGTATTTGTTTACCAGTTATGATTTCTTGAAAAAATTAACTTAATGAATTTAAAAAACACAACTTAAAATTGTATGGTTTTATATTTTCAAAAAATTTAATAATTAGTTAATCCAGCGGTGTCGACATCAGCTTTTAACTATTCATTGGCATCGGCCAAAAATGTGCAATCGGTACATCACTAATAGCAATATTCAGATATTTAATTTACAAACGTTTTAGCTAGTCTTAAAAAGGGAAGTATTGACTAATGTTCTCGATCTTCTTGTTTATTTTTGTCAGTTTGCTCTGAAAGCATCATGCTTAGCATATATGTTATTTATGTAATAGAGAATTTAATAGTATTTTATTTACACAATTTATACAGCAGTTCAGTAGTAAATTATTAAGGGTATAATAGTAGCTGCCATTTTTTTTTTAAGGTTTTAAGATATTTAAAATTGTTATCGCAGTCTATCAACACATAGTTTTATTTTTAAATTGTTGAATTAAATTTATATTTATGTTATTTTGTTTAAAACTTTATGAATTTTTATTTTGTTTAAAACTTTTATTCATTTAGTGAATAGTGAATTTTTAATTATTTAAGCGGTTACTATAATCTCTAATATAATAATAAGATACTATTAATCTGTGTTTTGTTTTTAGAGATCTGTGTAAATTTATGATTAACAACCGAAATTACAATACTTGAACAAATGTTAATTTTTGACAAAATTACGCTGCATCTTCCATATAATGGTTCAACTAAATCTAGTAAGTTTCACATCATCATTTTCAATATTTAGGTTTTAAAAAGGTAAGGAAAGGTTTTTTTACCTGAGTTTTAATATCTCAAACCATTAATTAACAGAGTTTGATAAAATAAATAAAATAATTTCTGTATATGAAAAATATATAGAATTTGTTAAGTATACAGGTTTTGACCTGGGCTTCTGTGAATGGATTGTGGATGGTATTAAAACTAGTTTATCTTTTAAAATAAAATCCTTTAAAAGGACATATACAGTAGGTGTAACGTGATTTGGAATGAATACACACTTGCAGGATTTTTCACATAAATCTCATCTGGTACCTCCATGGTAATTTTTATTTTCATTTGTAAGTTGATTGGTAGAATAATATTTACTAATTTATTTAAATATGTTAAAGCATGTATGTTACACATTATTACTCCAATAATCAATTTTTAATAGTTTATTCGCATCATGTATTGTCATCAATTGCATTGTAATAAAGTAATTATTTATGTATAATAATATTTTGAATTTATTATCAAAAAACGTATCTCAAAGACATAATGAAATTAAAAAATAAATTTTTAGTCAACTTGTTCAAGACTTAAAATTTCAAATGGTAACATAGAGGGCCGCCGAGAGTCTTCGCGCCGCCCGGGACAGAATCCTTGAGTGAAGGATCTTTTTTTTTTTAGATACATTTCTTTTCTTGGCGCCCCTCGGACATCTGCCGCCCGGGACAAACTGTCCCTTTCGCCCCACCCTCTCGGCGGCACTGGTAACATAATAATCTTGTAATTTTAATTATAATCATAGTTATTTACAAGTCTATTTATGTCAGGCCTAATAAATAACATCAAACATTAACTGTAAAATAACATTGCTTTAGATTTCCTGTAGGATGCCTGTTAGAAAAACTGAAGAACTGAAAGAAGAAACTTTTAAACTTGATGTTGGGAACTGTAGAAGTTACTGTTATACATAGTATCATATCAAGGCTCCAGTTCTCTAGTATTTGTTTTTGTATTTCACTTTTTTATTTGTTATTTTATTTTTTGTTTATGTTGTTATTGTAACAACAAACTATGGGAATATTTCAATCTGGCTATGGTTATTTTACACTTATATCGATTTATATACTGTATTGAGTCAGCTTGTGATTTAAGCGTGTTTTTTTTTTTTTTTGCCTAGTGCTTGTTAGTTATATGCAAGATATGGCATAGTATAGCACACTGCATGGTATGCCCTAATTAAAATTAACAAAAAATATTTTTATCTATACTTTAAAAATATATATGCTATAAATTATTATACTATTCAATTTTTTATTTTTACTTTATAAAATTAGTGTAAAAATGGATGAAAGCACTAAAGAAGCAAAACGATACAAATTAAAGAAGAATTTTGTCATGCGATCACGGTTGCAATATGAGAACTACCGTAACAGAATATATTTATTGTCGAACAGTTTTGAATCAATTCATTGTATGATGATAGTTTTTTGTTGCTTAAAAATATTATGAAATTCAAATCTGTTTTTTAAATTGATCCGTATTAATTATGTCAGACCAAAAATTCATTCGCCTAATACATTTTAATGCCCAGATCGCGAATTTAATATAAACTGTATAAAATAACCTTTACTTTTTCATTTTAAATAAATAATGCTACACTTTTAAATCGAAAAAGTTACTTTATTTTGCAGATGCGAGATCGCAAAATAATAAATTAAAATCGCAAATTTGCGAAAAACACTACAAATAATTAAGACGCGCGGCAAATAAAAAAAGTATCTGGGTTCAATATGGGATTTCCCATCTAAAATCCAGACTAAGCCCAGATGGGACCCAGTCTGTCTAAAATCCAGACTAAGCCCAGATGGGACCCAGATGGGTCCCACTTACAAAATCACGATGGGACCCATGTGGGATACCCAGGTGGGTCCCAGCATTTTGCCCAGATGGGTCCCAGCTGGGACCCATTTGTCGTGGTTAACTGGGTTAACACTAGAGTGGCCTTTAAAACAAGATTTTTTTTTAAAAAAATGCACTTATATATGTGTTATATATAATACAGAAACATTAGATTTTAAAAGAACCTGTATAAATTTTTTTTTAAAAAAATGTTTAAACCTAATATTTTTGTATTATATAGAACACATTTAGGGGGTGGGAAACTTTTTTTTAAAGGCCATCCTAGTGAGCACTCTTCTACCACACCACTTCTTTATAAAAGAAATATATGAAAAAAAAAAAAAAAAAAAAAATTAAAAATTAAAAATATCTCACCTGCATCCATACCACAACCATTGTCACGAAAACAAATGATAAACCCACCACGAAACTTCTCATTCGGAACTAAAAACAAAAATAATTTGTTAAATACTTATAACTCAAAAAATAAATTATTTATACATTGAAGTTTAAAAAAACAAAAAAAGTAAATTAAAAAAATGCAAATATTTTTTATTAGATTCCATAACTGAAAAAAATAAAATTATTATACTTTAAACTATATTGATAAAATATAAACAATTTTTATAGGCAGTAAAAACTTTTATAGCTCTTTGCTTTATTTTTATCAAATGTTGTTGATCATTCAAATCAGTAATGTTGTTATTGTTTATCAATGAATAGTTAGAGAACACAAAGACAATGCTTGTCTAAAGAATTTTTCACAGCGAAATAATAATAAGTGTTATATTTAATAACAATTGTTATGTATACAGGTCTGCACAAGATTTATTTTGAAACAAACCTGTCTATCTTTAGCTTACTGAAATATTAAATTTAAATTAAAAAAGTTTTTAGTACAAAAAAGATTATATTATTTAGCAAATGTTTTTGCTATATTTTATTTTCTACTTTTTAGTCTTTATAATGAGTTACAGTACTTAACAATGCAAATTATTGTAATGTAGAATTGTTGTCACAATATTATTATTAAACAATTAAAGTGTTTGGACTACAAAAAATAAGAGGAAGAGTTGATATTAAGTTCCCTAGTAGCAAGCTACATTAGTGCAATATCTGTACAATATTTATCTCAATGTTGTTAACAATACTGCACCAATATAAAATGTCCACATTTTGATATATATATATATATATATATATATATATATATATATATATATATATATATATATATATATATATATATATATATATATATATATATATATATATATATATATATATATATATATACTGCAATATAATACCAACATATTTTTTATCATTTTATCAATTTTTATCAATGAAAAAACACTAAAAATAAAAAAAGGCACCCGCAGGAAGAATTGAACTCTCCCTGCTAGCCGTGTCTCAAATTTAGACATCTATTACATCCACAAGACTAAATGAATATATCAATAAGGAGAAAAATTGAAAAATTTAAACATTTTTCATTTACAAATAAAGTTTTTATTATGTAAACAGTATTTGTACAAGTGTACAAATAATATAGGCAACAATTTTATGAGAACGTACTTTTTACAAGCATACAAATCCCTTAAAAAAAATAAAATTTACAAAAATAATCTCCCTGAAGAAGACTAAAAAAAAAAACTAAAAAGCTTAGTAGTTTTAAAAAATGTATTTAAATTATATATTTTTAATTAAAAAAAAATATATAAATATAACACGTAAATATAATATATATATATATTAGGGCTGTACCGGATTTAATTTTTCCAAATCCGGCCGAAGCCGGATTTGCCGGATTTTTACTAACAGATCCGGCCGGAATCGGAGCCAGAGCCGGATTTTAAAGCAAAACTACAGGAACCAAAATCCTGTATATCCCTACTTGGTGTTGAAAATGGTCAACAATGTTGACTATTTAGATCACCAAGTGACAGTTCCCGACGGGCATTTCTTTTTAAAAGTTACGATCTAAATGTATTTTAAATGTCTTTTAAACGTCTTTTAAACATCTTTTAAACATTAATGTTTAAAAGACATTTAAAACACATTCAGAACGTAACTTTTAAAAACAAATGCCGGTCGGGTTGTTTTCTATTAAACATCATTTTTGTTGTTTAAAAGTTTTATAGCAATTTCTATAGAAATTAATAGACATTTTATATAAATTTTATAGAGTTTCTATAGGCCATATGTTTCAAAAATTTAGAGAAATTCTACAGAACTTTTTTTCCCAGAAAGTTGTCACTCCGCCACTGTAGTGAATCAGCGTGCCTATATATTTCTGATTCTTCCAGATATTGGCTTAGCTGAGTGTCAATGCCTGTTGGTAATTGTTGTTCATGTGCTGTGCCACAAGCGGGCGTAGACTGAATAATTACATCTATATATATTGCCATTGTAATGATGATAATGTATAAGAATTACCCAGCCGGGATTGTTTTGCTGGATTTTCTTTATTTTTTTCAATCTAAAAAAGTTTCTCCTCAATGCCTTTGAAACGCTCATCTAATGAGTTGATTAGGATTGACTTCATAGTCTTTACACCTGCATTATTGCAGAATATCGTGTTTCTTCTCTTCAGAATTTTTTGTTGCGTTCTTGTTTGAAATTAGGCTTAGCTAATTAAATTGTAAAAAAATGTAAATACAGATACCAAAACAAACATGAAGTTCAAAAATTAAGTATTATGTATACATGTTATCACGGGTAATAAAGATGTAATAAACATACAGAAATCCGGCCAAAATTATGCCGGATTTGGGCCGGATTTGTAAAAATGGCCGGATTTCGGCCGGAGCAGGAGCCGGAGCCGAAATTCGGTACAGCCCTAATATATATATATATATATATATATATATATATATATATATATATATATATATATATATATATATATATATATATATATATACATATATATATATATATATATATATATATATATATATATATATATATATATATATATATATATATATATATATATTATATATATATATATATATACATATATATATATATATATATATACATATATATATATATATATATATATATATATATATATATATATATATATATATATATATATATATATACATATATATATATATATATATATATATATATATATATATATATATATATATATATATATATATATATATATATATATAAATTATGTTGGTGTATTCTACAAATAGAATGCTCAATGTTCTTAAAGAACAGAACAATAATAAATTCGTATAAACACATCAGGAAGGCTTCCTAATGATCCTACTGACAAAGAAACAAGCTGTAGAAGAAAATAAAAATTAGATAAGTATTTTTATTAATTTGTGTGTATATATATATATATATATATATATATATATATGTATATATATATATATATATATATATATATATATATATATATATATATATATATATATATATATATATATATATTTTATAGATAAGTTTTTTCTAAGAATTTCTGCAACTCTTCAGCCGTATTCACATCCCTCTGTTAAACCCTGCGATATGCAATCGGCTGGTTAAAAGTAAAATGGCAGTTTCTAAAGCCAGCAATAAAATAAACTCGTATTCTTATGTCTCTGTTTAGTTAACGGCAGGAAAAAATTTAGTTATCAAAAGGCTGTTAACGCCAAAATCTAACCCTGCTCTACCCTTCTGTTAAAACTGCTATCATAGGAATTTTCTATTAAATTAAGAAAAGTAAAAATTGGTATCCAATCAAAACAAATAAGTTTACTTTAATAACAATATAAGCTGTAATAACAATATAAGCTGTAATTTATATTAAATCAAATTTATATGGTTTATCCTTAAATAAATGTTGAAATAAAATGAAATGTATTTTGCATTTGATTATTATGCACGTACTGTTACGAACATATATGTTAAATACATGTAACATTTATACACATACACACACAAACACACACACACACACACACATATATATATATATATGTATATATATATATATATATATCAGGCTTGGTCGGGAAGCGGGTGCGATCGCACTCGATATTTGACCACGGAAATTATATTTAGTTGCGAAAAGCCGGCCAGATTTTTTAGGCGTTTTGAGAACATTTCAAAAACAAGCAAAAAAGCGCAATAAGATAAACTGGACCGATGAGAGACAGTTAAAAAAAAGAAAAATAGCTTTTAACGCAAAACTTTAAGCAAAATAAATACGATTAGAGTTTCAAAATATTTTTGAAACGTCGCTCTTTTATAATTTTTTTTTTAAAAAAAAGCGACATTTTTTGTATATAGTAACAACGTATTAATAATGATTGTTTAATAAAGAAACAAATGTTCTTCAATTTATCAAAGATTATATATAATTTTTATTTATATACTTATGTCTTATTTCCAGTGCTGGAAATAAGAGGTGGTGGTGGGGGGGGGGGGGGGGGGGGGGAGAAGAGCTATAGTTCCGGGACACACAATGTTATGGGCCGAGAAATAGTCAAGAGGACCTATCGGTATTTTCAAGTCATTTTTACGCTGTCACACATAAAAAAGGCCACCAAAATAATGCAGCCCCCGGCCCTGTAAAGTCCATCAAGATTAAACCAATAAAACTAACGCTAAATAATTTAATTATAAATAAAAAAAGTTTTTTCGGTACCTGTTTTATGCTTCGCGTAGTTTGAAAAGTTTAACATATTTGAAACAATTCTTCTTAGTAAGATGAACAAATGAAATAACTAAATCATTGAGTTACTGTGGAAATTTAATTAGCTAGATAGAAATTAACTAAAAACGTTAAATTACTTTGTAAGGAGGAAGCGGAACTGCTTAACAATATCGCTGATGACATTTAGTGAGTGGGCTTTATATCTTTAACTAGTATTTTACAGAAAAAAAAAACTTTAAGTGTAAGTATAACGAGTTTGTAAGAATGGCTGAAGCAAAAATAATAAAAGTTAATAAACCAATTTCTAATACATTACATACATATAAATACATCCCTTATATATAAAAAATAAGATTATACTAATTAAATCTATAACATATTTACAAAACGTTGACAAGTTAAAAAATATAAATTTAAAACATTTATTTTTGTAAACAAATGTTAGTTTAAAACATTTATAGCTTTATGGATGTGACTCCGAGAATGAGCCATTGTATTAAAATAATTGTTCGTTTGATAGTATATTCTTAAAACAATTGATGCTAAAATTCTCAACGAAAAAATAACAAAAACAAAAACAAAAAAAAAAGATTTTGAAAAATAATTCAACAGAGTACTCTAGAACAGTCGCGTAGTAATTTCAGTTATTTATTAATTGAACTAATAGAATTAGTTGTTCGTAAATTTGGCGGGTTTTTTGTGTTCGCGAATATTCTTTATTTATTTTTCCGCACTAAGATGTTTGACAACATTCAAGTTTATATAAGTTTCGATGTACGTCCGTAAAAAAAAATCTTATAAATTTAAGATAAAATGAACTTATTATTTTGCGGACAAACAAGGAAACATACATAAACTGAAATGTTCTCAAAACGCCTGAAAAACCTGGCCGGCTTTTCGCAAGTAAATATAATTTCCGTGGTCAATTATCGAGTGCGATCGCACCCGCTTCCCGACCAAGCCTAATATATATATATATATATATATATATATATATATAATATATATATATATATATATATATATATATATATATATATATATATATATATATATATATATATGTACACACACACATACACACACACATATATATATGTAATGAATGTATATTTATTTATAGATGTGTATATGTATGCATATAATACATATGTATCTGTATCACATTTATGTGTTTATGTATAAGAGTAAGTATACAAGTACATGAATGTATACATATATATATATATATATATATATATATATATATATATATATATATATATATATATATATATATATATATATATATATATATATATATATATGTGTATATATATATATATATATATATATATATATATATATATAAATATGTACACATACATGTGTTTTATGTAGTAAATCAATACTACATTTAAAAAAATATATGTATATATATATATATATATATATATATATATATACAGGGGCTATTCTAGACCATTTTCAGCAGGGCCGACTGTATTTGGCCGCTGCCCAAATTGAAAATTGAGGATCTTTTTTTTTTTTAACGAAATCGGCCATTTTTTTTACAGAAAATTGTTTTTTGTTTTGGCAAATATTGTATATTTTAAGAGAAAAATCGTTACGTATCTTTTTTTCCGAAATGAACATTATTTTTGAAATTTTTATATAATTTCGCTTGATTTGAGTACCAGGTTGACATAATTTTTTTTTGAAAATATTAGGGACCCATTAAATATTCGAGGGTCTTGAGTGACCCTTTAAATTATTTATTGAAAAAAAATTTAAAATTAGTGTTTTTGTATTAGATAGAACACATTTAGGGGGTGAGAGCAGATTATTTTTAAAAAATATATATATATACATATATATATATATATATATATATATATATATATATATATATATATATATATATATATATATATATATATATATATATATATATATATATATTATATTAAACACAAATAAAGTATACTAAAATATAAAGGTTTTGTACAAATAACCAATTGTATTAATGACATGAAAATAAATAGATAGTAGAAAAAATTCATAGAAAAAAACAATTAAAATCGCTTTATTAAATTGTTCATACCTGTATAAACATAAAGCTCTGTAGCATCAGCATCTCTAATAAACAGTAAAAAAACAAATAATATTTAAATATTGAACTCTCTCTCTCTCTCTCTCTCTCTCTCTCTCTCTATATATATATATATATATATATATAATATATATATATATATATATATATATATATATATATATATATATATATATATATATATATATATATATATATATATATATATATATATATATATATATATATATAGTTCAATATTTAAATATTATTTGTATTAAACAATAAAAATGAGCTATTTTTTGAGAACAAATAATATTTAAATATTGAACTTATTATATAATTATATAATTTTGAGAACAAATAATATTTAAATATTGAAAATATATATATATATATATATATATATATATATATATATATATATATATATATATATATATATATATATATATATATATATATATATATATATATATATATAGTTCAATGTTTAAATATTATTTGTTCTCAAAAAAAAACTCATTTTTATTGTTTTTTTTCTTTTTCTCTTCCTAAAAATTTTTTTTTTTTACACTAAGTTAAATTTTAAATAAACAGCTACATCAAAAATTTGCACAAAATGTAAGTTAAACTTTTTTTATAACGCAAGTTAAATCACAGAGATTGTTTTTTAATAAAGATATATGCAGCGATATAATTTTAACAAATGTTTGGAAAAATAATCTTTTCTTTCAAAACAATATCATTAATAAAATAACAAACTTTTATTAAATAAAGCAGAGGTATGAAATCGTAAAAAAATTACCAACTCCAACTCCTATCATTAGGGTGGTCCATAAAACAACTTTTTTGAGAAAAACCTGCTGACACCCCCTAAGTGTGTTTTATCTAATGCAAAAACACTAGGTTTAAAATTTTTTTGAACAAAAATTATTTTTAGGGGTAGCTCAAGGCCCTCAAAAATTTGACGGGTCCCTAATATTTTGAAAAAAAAACTTTTTCTAAAGTATGTCAACCTGGTACTCAAAATAAGCAAAATTATATAAAAAATTTAAAAATGATAATAATTTTTTATAAAAATAATTTTTTTAGGTATAAATGCATAAAAACTATTGTTTTTAAGCTGAAAATAAAAAAAGTCAATATTTTCAGGTTTTTTGAGAATAATTTTTTTTAGGCATGTTTTTTATGTAAAATGATTATTATTTTTGAAGTTTTTATACAATATCGCTTCTTTTGAGTACCAGGTTGACATACTTTAGAAAAAGTTTTTTTTTCAAAATATTAGGGACCCGTCAAATTTTTGAGGGCCTTGAGCTACCCCTAAAAATAATTTTTGTTCAAAAAAATTTTAAACCTAGTGTTTTTGCATTAGATAAAACACATTTAGGGGGTGTCAGCAGGTTTTTCTCAAAAAAGTTGTTTTATGGACCACCCTACCTATCATTTAAATTTTCAGAGTACCACTCTGACTCCAAAGCAAAATTTTTGAAAAATTCTTTGAGTTCTTTAAAAAATATTATACAATAATTAAAAAAAAATTTTTTTGCCAAATTTACGAAAGTTCTTTGAAGGTTTAATATGAATATAAGGTTAATTGAATATATATATATATTTTTTATTTGTTACTTATTAATTTTTTTAAAAATAAAATATTATTTGTAAGTGCTAAGCCGCAATTAGAGATTTAAGAAACAATCATTTAAAAATTCAAAAATTTAACATATTTTAATTCATTTATACAAATGTTGAGAAAATAAATTTGTTAATATCAAACATTTTTAAAAATTTAATATTAAATTTAATTATTTAATATTAAAAAAAAAAAAGAAAGAAAATAAACATTCCCTTATAGTAATAATAAAAAAAAGTTAATAACATTCATTTTGTTTTGCGAATTAATATTATTGCATTAATTTAAAAGAGTTAACATCTTTAAAAAATGTTATTAAATATTAATATTATAAATATTAGGCTAAATATTTATAACAACCTAATATTTAAAATATCTAATATTTATAATATTATAATATTTATAATATTAAAACGATTATAAATATTAGGCTATTTGCATTAAGCATTTTTTATTTAACACAAGTACAATTACAGTGCGCTATATTGACAACCAGGTTTTATGTTTGCCCACTCTGAGTTTTTTTTGTTCCCTATGACGATACCTACCAAATACTTGCAAAAAAAAAAAAATAATTTTAAATTCACATTTATTAAAGGTGTCTGAAAAGTTATTATTTACAAAAAAAGGGTGGGGTGGGTGAGTGCTAGAAAATAAATTTTTTGACTTTTTTTTTAATTTGATTACATAAGTAAATAACATAACCTTAATTAAGTTCTTTAAAGATTTGTGAGAGACTACTATAAGATTTTTTGGTACAACCGTAACATAAACATAAATCTAAACTTTTCAGTAATATTTGTAACTTTTCTTGCTTAAAATAATTTTTAGGCCATGATTCTCATAATCTTGAAGAGGGACTAATCAGGTCTATATGTTTAACAACATCAGTATATAATTATTAAAAAATGGAAAAAAAGTTGTGTTTGCATGTTTTTATTAGAATAAAATAATTATTTTTGTCAAATGATTTTTTTTTTTTTTGCATTTACTTTTGTGTTTTCATAGTATATTTTACAACAATATGTTTTGTAAAAAAGCATATTGTCGTAAAATATACCATGACAACATAATTATATAACATAATTGCATAATATATAGCACAGCAGCTGCTATCATACAATTGTGTTATGAACCTTTTAGCATACTTTAGAAGCTATTTAATAATTAAAACATCCATATAAAAGAGTAATACATAATTGTCACCAGGGATGCGGAGTCCGGAGTCGGAGTCCATGGAGTCCCTCTTTTAGCCTGGAGTCCGGAGTCTCAGGAGTCCATAACAATTTTAGGACTCCGAGACTCTTTTTTTATTTTTTTTTAGTTATTTATATGCTTAAAAAAAACCCTGATGGTCTTGTCACAAAGCACTGCAGAAGAGCACTTAACCTGGAAGTTTACCTCCTTCCTTACCAATTTCGTTCTTTTGGCCAGATTAAGTACGGTTCGTAATTCCCTACTTATATGCAGTTATTTTTTAGATAACATTTTAAATTTAAGGATGAACAAATGGTGATATGCGAAATGTCACACGACAAATGCTTGTTAAGAGAATAAAGAAAACTTTTAAAAAGTGCAATAAAACTATTTTATATAAAAACATAGTAGCGTATATTGTTTTTTAACTTGTAAGAACACAAACTATGTAGCTTGCCAAAAATAATGCGTATAATTCAACATTTTCTTATTCTATAACTTATAAAGTTTAACAAACATATTAGTCATGGAATATATTATGGCTAATTATGTTCATTTTGTACATTGCTAACAAAATAAAAATTCCAATTTTAATAACGCCTTCTGAAAAATTGCAATGAAAGCGTTATGGTTTAGATACGAAAGCTACCAAATTTAACTAACAAATTAATGACATGCAATAAAAAACCAAATTTGTCTGTAAGTTTGCGCTTTAAAGTCAAACTAACGAGCTAGACAATCGGTAAAAAACCTACTAACTATGTCATAAAGAAGCCTATAAAAAAGATGCTTATAAAAATATCTCAGCCAATAAATAATAATTCTTTTGCGCAACAACTCCTTTTACGAAAAAAATTGCTTTTAGTTTTAATGCATTTTCCTAAATCTTATTAATTTAATTCGACATATTAGAAATAATACTAGGAAACATGTTACAAAATTTTTTTTAACAGCGTCGTCAATTCATAACTAGTCATGTTAACAATTTTCTTAACTATGTTTTCGTGGGTTGTTATAAAAACAATTAATTTTGTGAAGCATATATAACAGAAAGCAAATACTTTACAAGTTCACAATAACTTGCAATAACAACATTCTTTCTTTATATTTGTGTGCAACAATCTCGACCAGTAATGGCCACTAACTATGCATCAGATACAATCTACAGACATTTTCATGGATGTAAAGTAGTATGCTTTAAATGTCTTGTACCCGAAAAAAATAAAAGTAACGAGTTATGCGGTAAAGAAATTACATGTGCCGCAAAAGCTCGCATTAGCAACCTTATACGACACTTATCTAGAAAACACGCGGAGCTCCTCATAACGTTAGAAAAAGAAAAGTTAGAGAAAATATTAGAAGAAGAATAAGAACGAAAAAAAAATAAAGTCATCAAAGGCAGTAGTTCACAGCAATCCATATTAAAGTGTTTTGTACCACAGCAAATTAATTTGCATATAGCAAAAGATGAATTTTTAGAAGCCTTAAACAATCTGGTTTTGGTTGAATGACCTTTATTTCAGTTTCAAATTATTTTTTCTTTAATATTTATTTTTTAATTTCAAAAAAAGTCTTAGCTGCATTACATTTTAAAAAATTATGTTTTTTTTTGCGAATTTTTAAAAAACATTTATTATTCTAAAAACAAATTCTATAGGCGTTTGATCGAGAACCTATTCAAAAGCTTTGCGTAAAAGTTGCATCTCATTATGGATTTAAAATGAATAGAGATAATATGAGAATTCAAATTAGCGATCTTGCCAAAAAGCATCGCGAACAAATCAAAAATAAAATATCGAAAATGTTAATTTATTTAAAAGTCGATTCTACATCAAGGCATATGCGCCACTACCTTGGTATAAATGCGCAATACTCGAACAATTATGAAATTGTTGTGATCAATCTTGGCACCATAGATACAAAAGGAAAACAAACGGCGGAATACACTAAAAAAATTATTGAAAACAGTTCATATTGCAGACTCTAGTTCAGAAAATGAGGAAAATGCTTAACCAGTCGCAAAGCGACGACCGAATTTATTTATGCTGTGTGAACAGGAGATTGAAGAGAATTCTTCAGAAGAACAAATGCAGATTCAGTTAAATGTAATAGAAACAGAGTTTCGACAAGCTCTAAAAACGATTCCGGAAATTCGTTCAGTGTTTAAAGACAATGCCCCCAACTTAGATGAGTTTTTAAAACTTAACCCATTAAAAGCAATTGAGCGGTTTCCTGAAGTTTTACGGGATGCCTGCCGAGTCGCTTTGTCGCTACCCATATCCCAAGTCAGGTATTAATGGTAGCCTATCAATTTTCTGGCATTTTCACATAAAAATTCCAGATAAAAAAAGCCACATTTAATTTAAGAAAAAAATAAAAAATTCCGGAGTCGGAGTCCATGATTTTTGTTATCGGAGTCCAGAGTCCCCGAGTCCCGAAAAAACAATGGAACTTCGCATCCCTGATTGTCACAATAAATTATTTATAAAATAAAATTAATACATTTACATTGTTGAAAATATTACTATTTTTGCTGTTCAAAATAAAAAAATTATAATTGGTAGATATCTGAATCCCGTAGAAGTTAAAGCAGCACCTAAATTCTTTGAAGAAAAAATCACATTAAATGAAAGCCTGAGAGATGCCGTAAGGCAAGCAAGAGTAGCATGAAGTGTTTTATCTTCTCTTTTATAAATTGAAAAGTATTCTGAGTTGTCAAATCCACATATGTCATGCTTATTTCTTAGTTTGAAAAAATTTTGAAAAAAAAGCAAGACCATATTAAAGCTGTTTTGAAAAAAAAAAACAAGTTTTAAACTTAATCACTGCTTTTAATTTTTTTTGATTTAATCTTCTTGTTTTCAGTTATTTATTATATGTATTAAGTATTTTAAACCAGAAAAGTTTTTTGGCAAAAAAAGGAGAGTTTTTTTTGCAGCAACAATGTCTTTTAATTATATTTTTTTAAATATAAGATATTTGAATTATACTCATTGTCACAAAAGTTGAATCAATTTTCGTTCCATACTTTGTGATATGACTTTTGTGCTATTTAGTGCTATGATAGTTTTGCTTTGCAGCAACAACATACTTGTGTCATAAACAAATAAAACTATAGAGGATTATCAGGAAGATTAGATTCATGTTTTGTTTCTTAACAAATGAGAAACAAAACATGACCAAGATTGAAACTTTGTACACCCAGTTAACATTTGGCCAAGAGGGGTAGATGTTAACTGCACTCAGATAGTGCTTTAGATTTTATCTAGATATGAATATTATACAAAATGTTGAAATATACATATATACAGGTAAATGTAAAACACATTAAAAAAAATTAGCTAAATATTTATAAATAAAATTTTAAGATATACCTGGAATTGTCCACTAATTCTGCAAGAGCTCCAAACAAAAATTCATGAGTAGTGCTACAATAAGAGTTAAAAAAAAATTATTTATAACGGTATGCCTTTTTTAAACAAATATATTGCATAAAAAAATAATATTTAAACAAGACTAAAAGTGAATTTTTTTGGTTGTGTTTTCACATACAAATAAGTTCAATATTTGCAAAATGTTTTAAAAGTGTAATAAAGCCATGTTAAGATATTTTAGCATAAATTAGCATAAATTAGCAAGTATTTATTTTAAAAAAGGCTTAAAAAATTAAACAATTTTTAATAACCATACTGACATAGAGCTGATTAACTAATAAGAACAACTATATAACAATAAAGCATTGTTGTTATTAGTAACAAGATAAAATGATTGAAAAACGTTTTTAAATAGCAATTTATATGGAATTAAGTTCCCGGTTGGTTAGTGATATATAAATGCATAGATTTTACATTTAGTACATACATAGATTATTATATAGCCTGCTGCTGTAAAAGAGTGCCACTATATCGTCTGAGGGTTTTGCATGGGACAAAAATCTTTTCTTTCATTATTCTTTGCTTTTTTTCTGAAAATGTGGTATGCTATAAAGGTAGGAAAAACAAGTAACAACTTAAACACACTATAGTGTCCTATGTCACTATGTCACTATAGCATATTTGAGTGTCCTATGCCAAACCCTCAGTCAATATAGTGGCACTCTCTTGCAGCAGCAGGTTATAAGATAGTGGATATATGTACTAAAGCTAATAAATATTCTATTATTGTTTAAAAAGTCTCCATGGAGGAGATAATAGAAATAATATAAACAAAACAATATAAATACTTTACGCCGCTTAACTGCAGATTTAATTGAATATATATATATATATATATATATATTATATATATATATATATATATATATATATATATATATATATATATACAAACACATTAAACATATTGTATACAATATGCATCATGTACTATAATGTGTTCATTTTGTTTAATGATATTTTTATACGTGAATGACACACAAATAATTGCAAATGACAGTCAAATAAATTTCAAAATTATATATAAAATATAAACATAAACAGCAAAATTATCAAACATTACTTTTTATTTATTCCATTTATATCAGGAGTAAATAAAAATTTTGGCATAAGTCTTGGTATATTCACAAAATAAAAAATAACAGCTAAGTAAGATCTCTTTATGAAGAGAATTCATAGCTTACATTTTCAAATAATTTAAATTGACACTTTGTTACGATAATTTTTTTTTTTTTTTTGAGCTAAATAGAATTTAAAAAAAAAAAAAAACATTGCTGTTAAAAAAAAAAAATGTATATGTAGTTTAAACACCGCGTTTACTCAAAAATTCTATTGAAAACTATGTTGTTTGAAACAAACCTGTTTGTGTGCAAATACTCATAGGTAAGCTGAGCACGACTTAGACTTGAGTAAGCTGATGACATGAAAAAAAAGTCAATAAGTTAATGTGTGAGATAAAATATTTTTTTAGATTTCAGCAATATGATACAAATTTGTTTTATGGCGCTATTAGTCGTTACCGTAAAATTTACTCTCCGTAACATGTTTTGATCCTTTACAAGGTCTTTTTAGGAAAACACTAAAACCAATCTTTCAAAGTGCAATCTAAATTTTACTGACCGAGGCGATCTCCAACGGAAATATAGTTGTATTTTAAAATAAAAGAAACTCTGAGATTTTTAATAACATTTAATAACATTTGTATTTAATATTTATTATTAATCATGTTATTATTAATAATATTTTCGTTTAATATCAATTTGATAACATTTATATCACATTGTAAATGCCGTAATCGGGTCTAGATTTTTTAAAAACTGTTCAAACAGCACTTTGACGAATTGGATTTAACGTTTCCCGTCTTTTTACAAGGAAATTTTTTTTTTCTTTTAATTAAATTTACTCCCAAAATTTTGGGAGTAAATTAAATAAAATAATAGTGCTTAATAGTAGTTGCCTGCAGCCATTTAAAAGACCGCAAGCAACCAATAACAAGCTTGGAGTTACTAGAAAACAAAGAATAGAGTTAAAGATAAAGAAAAAGCACGGCCATCCCGAAGAAAATTTTAAAGGAGGGGGGTGACGTATCGTATATTTTTGTCGACTGACGTATATTTTTGTCGACTAAGATCTAAAAAAAGAAAAAAGGTCCTCGTTAGCTGACACTTGCCGACTGCTAATTATAGGTCCAAGTTTGCCGACTCCAGTTTCTAATATACCAACTTGTAAATTTAGTAGGGGGTCTTACTCCCCCTTCGGGACGCCTGTGAGGAAACAGTTGAAAGAATACTTGCAGTATTCTTTCAACTAGAAATATTGCAGATTCGTTGGAAAAATCACAATTTACTCTTGGCGTTTTCATTGATCTATCAAAAGCTTTTGATACGATAGATCATGAGATTCTTATTCAAAAACTTAAAAACTATGGAATCAGCGGCAATTTTCTAAATTTGCTAAAAAGCTATTTAAGCAATCGTAAACAGTTTGTGCAAAATGATGTATCCTCCTCTACAAATTTGCTAGATATAACATGTGGCGTTCCACAGGGGTCTATACTGGGACCACTCCTTTTTCTCGTCTATGTTAATGATCTGCATAATGCCTCAAATTTAACGACAGTGATGTTTGCCGATGACACTAACCATTTTCTGCCCAGTAGTAATATTGTTACACTTTTTAATGACATAAACATAGAGTTAGTTAAAATTTCAAATTGGTTTAAGACAAATAAATTATCAATTAACTTAGAAAAACTCAATGGACTCTATTTCATCCTAAATCCAAAAAAAAACTTTTACCAAATGATATGCCTCATATATATATTGACAATGTTCAAATAAAGCAATCAAAAGTTATACATTTCCTTGGTGTTTTTATTGATGAAGACTTAACATGGAAATATCATATCGAAACATTATACAATAAAGTCTCAAAAAATATTGGAGTGTTGTATAAAGCGAGAAATTTTGTAAATAGATATGCATTAATTTAACTTTATTACTCGCTAATCCAATGTCATGTAAACTATGCTAACATTGCGTGGGGTAGTGCTAATAATAGTCAATTAGAACCTCTTTATCGGCAACGGAAGCATCTAGCAAAACCGCTTTTAATAGACATGAATATTCTTAATATATATCAACTAAATGTTTTTAATGTTCTTTGCTTCATGTAAAAATGTAAGATAAACTTAACTCCAATATTTTTTCAAAATTTATATGCAATAAAGCCAAGAAACAAATATGAATTAAGAAATAACAATCTTATTCATAAACATTATTCGCACACAAATTTTGGAAGATCTCTTATATCATATCGCGGAGCTTTTCTGTGGAACCAAATAGTGTTAAAAAACTTTGTTTTTTCTAAAAATTGTAGTTTTCTTACTTTCAAAAATAAACTGAAAAAAGTTATCTTGACAATTGATAACATCTTCGAGTTTTTTTGAATATTTTATTTAAATATTTAGTTTTATTACATATTTTGACATTTTTTAACGGTATTTTATGTTTGGTTTTGGCTTATTAAAAATCTTGTATTGTAAATATCGGTATTTTGTTTTTATTTATTTTGTATCGCATTGTTAAACGGTTCTCGGTGACAGGATCTTAACATCCTCTTCGAGTTTCCGTGTTCTTTTTATTTTATGTAAAACGATATTATACCAAATAAAATTGTAATAAGAACAAAAAAAAAAAAAATTAATTTTTTATTACCTAGGGATAATTGCATTTATTCTAATGAGTTATTTTCTGAATTATTCTTTAAAAAGCCTGTAAATCTCTTTAACAAAACAAAGCAATAGGAGATAATGAAATTGATGATTATTAAATAATTACCATGATTAATGATTATTAAATAATTACTAAATTGATTTTTGTATAGTAGATATACAAAAAACAATTTGGTTTAAAAAAAATAACTCAGCTGAACATGCAGTTATTCAACTTGTACGCAAAATCTTCCATTCTTTTAAAAATTCTCAATTTACATTAGAAATTTTTATTAACATATTCAAAGCCTTTGATAATGTAGATCGTTATATTTTGCTTCATAAATTTAAACATTACTGAACTATTTGTCTATTATAATGATATATACCAAAACAATTTTTTAGATATATCTTGTTATGATTTGCAAGATTCTATTCTAGGGTCAGTTTTGTTTTTGATTTTTGTAAATAACTTTTATATAGCCTCAAACCTTCTGAAAAAAAAGTACTTTTTTTTCAGATGATAACAATTTCTCTAATTAAGATATTTACCTACTCTATTTGACTATGAATGATGAACTGCAAAAAGTATCGACCCAGTGGGCACCGGACCAAAAAAAGACGTCTTTTGAACGTTCGAAAGACGTCCAAAACGTTCAAAAGACGTTCAAAAGACGTCCAAAAGGTGTATTCTAATACACCTTTTGGACGTTTAGAAGATGTTTAGAAGACGTCTTTTTTACGTCAGTATCCACTGCGGAATTGGTTTAAATCCAACAAATTAATCCTAAACGCAAACAAAACAAGATGGATTCTTGTTAATCAAGTTGAAATAAAAAATGTTTAGATACAGAATTTTTAAATGTTTTTCTTGACTAGAACATTTCATGGAAACTACATATAAATTTGCACTAAAGTGTCTAAAAGTATTGAAATTTATACAAGGCCAGAATATATTTAAATAAAAAAAATCAACACAATTTTATTACTCATTTGTTCACAGTAATATAAATTATGATAAATTATACAGGCAAACGTTAAAACGTCTTTAATAAACTATTATTTTTTTAGTATTATATTACTGTGTCGTCAGAAACACTCTATTCGTTTTATCAATTTTGAATACCGATTTTTTTTATGGAAATGAGAATACTCAATGTAAACGAATTAAATGCATTTAATGTTTTATGTTCCATTTATATGTGAAAAAACTATTTCTGCCCTTTAGTTTTTAAAGTTTTATTTATTTTGAAAGTCAAAAACAAATACACTTTAGGAAATAATAAATTTTTAAATGAAATATTTTGTAAAACAAGATTTAATCAATTTTGTATTTTGTATCATGCACCATATCTCTGGAATAGGATTGTTTTACCTTATTTTGATTTGTCGATTACATTTCTAGCCTTCAAAGATAAATTAAAAACTTCATTCTCACAATTGAAAATATTTTTGAATTAATTTGATAATGTAATTATATATAATGAAATTTTATGATATAATGTGCATATTTATATTATAAATTTTATTTCTGTTTCTGGCATTGTAATACATGTTATTTTTGAAAAAAAGGTTACTAAGGACGGTTACTAAGTTTGCAAGGTTAGTAAGGACGATAAGATTTGATGATGATAAGATATTTATCACTTTGATTGTATTTTAATTTTTTACTAAACTTTGTCTAGATTTTTTTTATCAAGGCTTAAGTCTGCGGATTTTCCATGTTGTAAAGGATTTTGTTACGAACCCAAAAGATTTAAATATAAAAATAACAAAAAGGTTAAAGTGCAATAAAAAAAGTTAAGACAAATGAAAAAAGTTTATCAAACATGCAGAAACAGATACAGTAAAAGGATAAACAGAAATAGTAAAAGGACTTAGCTGAATTACATGTCTAGAGATACTGTATTTGGGTTGATGGAACTAGAGATGATAGCTCCTTTGAGCAGCTACCATGAGTATTTGCAGAAATTATTAAAGAGAAATAGATGCAATTTTACGACAATGGGAGAGAGGCTCAAAATCGGCAGATAAAGCATCAGATAAAGATTCAACTACTTTTAGAATACGTTTTGAATACGTTTTTGGACTTTATCTAGTCAAGAGATAAAGCAATATTAGAAAACCAGTCCAAGTATGACATCAGTATTCCCTATAGGATTAAGATAATGTCGAGGACGATAAAGAGCATATACAAACCTTAGCAAAGCAAACGTTAGCAAATGTTAACTTTGTATTCTATTACATATATGGTTTCCATGAAAATTCAGTAATGAATGATAATCTAAGAAAACATAAAAAAGAGGAAATAAATGAGTTTTATTGTAGTTAAAATTCACAAGTCACTGCAAGCTCCGAGCTGTTTTAGAAGAGAGTGTAGATTCAAGCTCAACTGCCTGTTCTATGCGATTAAAAAGAAAAGATTTTTTATCAAGATAGGAGTATAAAGTTGAATCTTCAGCAAATAGAGCTACTTTAATTGTAAGATTTTCAGGAAGATCATTAATGTAGATAAGACCAAGGATAGAACTTTGAGGTACCCCGGAAATTACTAGAAATGAAGAAGAGTATTGGTCTTTGAGGATGACTTTAATACTGAGAATAGTAAATCATTTAAAGAAATGATTTACCATTCTCAAAAAATTTCCAAGAATCACTATATGAAGCAAGTTTATAGAGAAGACCAACATGCCAATCTTTATCGAAAGCTTTAGACAGGTTAAGAGCTAAAGCTTTGCCTTGCCGTCTCGATAGAATCTTTCAGTTAGAGCAGTTAGCAAGTCGGCCGAAGGACGAGAAGATCAAAAACCAAGTTGATTGTTGGAGAGC